TACTTCCTAGTACTTAAAACAACTATACTTGCAGTGTTTAGGACTATGAACAAGGAACAAAGGACTTTTTGCTCCTAAACAAGCTGTGAGAGCTGTTGTAGTGGATAAGTTTGGACGTCTTCATAGGGACACCTCTCATCAACTATGTAAGTCTATTTAACCTCAACACGTGCCTTTTCTATGTTCATAGACCACTGACAGCATTCAATCCAATGGCGGTGAATGACGTTGCTCATCGTGCTCCAGTGTCACCAGCCGTGGGCAGGATGCCATCAGGAAGCACATGGACGGTCAGGTCTGGAGGCTGATGGGGAAGCAGGACAATGAGGAATTTTTACAAGGACCACATTGTGATGGCTAGAGGACCGGGTCACATCGCATCCAAAACTCACATGTGGCCACGGGTCCTTGATGCACATGAGGAGCTGGCCCGTGTGTTCTGACCTCCTGCTGCTGTGGCATGAGCTGCTGAAGACATGAATGGTGGCATGATGGAAACACGGCAGGACGCCATGTATATGTCTGCATAGCGGCGGACCAGTCAGAGTGTCAGAGCTGGACCATGGACCAATGGAAGAAGGTGTCCTGGTCTGATGGATCACATCATGTGGACGGCCAGGTGCCGCTTGTCGAGGGAAGAGATCACAGCAGCAGCACGATGAGAAGAAGACAAACTGTCAGAGGCAGTGTGATGGTCGGGGCAATATTTTGCAGGAAAACCTTGAGTCCTGATATTAATGTGGACATTCCTGTGACACATAGCACCAAACTAAACACTGCTGCCGACCGCGTACATCCCGTACATCCCAATGGTTTTCCCTCATGGCAGGAGGCCACACTGCCAACAGTGTTCAGGGATGGTTTGAGGATTATGACAAAGAGTTCAAGGTGTCGATCTGAACTCTCAGTCTAATGGAGCATGTGTGGGATGAGCTAGAAAAACTCTCTGATCCATGAAGTGTCCACCTCACAGCTTCCAGGACTTATAGGACCTGCTGCTGACGTCTTCATTCCTGATGCCACAGGACAGCTTCAGAGCTCCGTGGAGTCGATGGATCAGGGCTGTTCTAGTGGCATGGAGGGGACCAGTGAGAGGGTTTTAATGCTGTGGCTGATTAGATTGTTCAAACACACATATATGTACAGCACAAGTGGCTCCTTTGGCCCACATTAGGTTTGTTCTGCTCTTCTATCTGGTGTGAACACCATTAAACAAACAGACCGGTTTCACGCTGCAGTGACGTTTCCTGGATGCATTCGACAGCAGCTTGAGAACTCACACAGTTGATTTTGTTTGGAATATCCCTGAAGGCCGTCACACCTTGTTGCCAACAAATGCTACAAACTGAAGACCTCCTACATCCCAGGAAGCTCCACCCACAACACCACCAACTAACAGGTATGCAGAAATCATTTGTTTTGTCAGAGCCACACACTCAGAGGCTGAAGTCTGCTTTTATTTGATGTGATATTCATACACACCTAACAGGTGCAGCTCACGCAAGATGTTTCATAAATGAACAGATTTCTCATGAAAGAGAGAACTGAAGCTGCAAGAGACGGGATTTCACTGAAGATCTCATCAGTTTTCAGACAAACAGCCCATCCCCCCTTTGACAGCCAGACTGTCCTAATAAAAGCTTTCTGTGCGCTCCCTGTGGCCACAGAGGTGTAAACATCTGGGCCAAGTCACAAACTGATGCTTGCTGGTGTCATTATGATGATGACATCAGAAGTTTATTTCACCCCAAAGCCCCGCTCAGGACGAGGGGTGATGGAAAAAAAAAAGGTAAAAGTGTGTCTGGCTGCTGTCTGTAGCAGGATCCTCCTCAGTAGTAGACCTGATGACAGCAACCAGGTCCACAGGTCTCCGTTGTCTCCGTCCTGCTGAAGGCCAGACAGCACACTGTGGGATCAATACCTCAACAAAGAACCAGTAGGAACTGTATCTGAAGCTCAACACAGCAAACCGTAAACACACTGACATCTTACCTGCATTAGGATCCACAGCACACAGAGAATCTGCTACAGATATAGAATATTTATTATTTGGTGAGTTATTAATGTTTAATGCACTTTGCTTATGAATGTAAACTAAATACACAACACAATATATCGTGATACCAAACTGCCAACAACAAATATAGACCATCACAGCTTCTCATTGTCATTCATTATATGTGCAGGAATACATTAAACGACATATTGTGCTCTAAGTGACCAGTTATACAGAATATATCAGAACATAGCACTGATCTACCCACAACATGAGAAGTGTTAAAAGACTTCCACGTATACGGCGACACCATGAACGATGCTGAAAGCTCCTTAATAACTCATATGATTGTGTGTATATGACAGAATGACACAGAAAGTGTAAAACATCAGGAAGGAATTTGGCCAAATCATCTCATGTTTTCTAGTTTATTTAATGTAAATATATGAGTTTTACTAATTTTAGTTAATCAAACTTAAAATGAATGATTTGTTTACCCACTTTAGAACTTACCAACATGAGTTCTTCTAACCTGAGAGCTTCTGATGTGTAACGATGAGCTGCTGACAGCGTGTGTCATTAATGCACTTTAACTGCCTCTTTTCATTTCTAACCACGACCAATGGCTTCATTCACTTTATCTCACTGCAGCGAGAACGGGCTGATTCTGAGCTGGACCTTATTAAATGGAGACAAGAACTGGTTCAACACAGAAGGAAGTCATGCTGTCTGTGGGATTAACCTCATGTCTTACGTTTATTCAACATCTTTTTGTAAATTCGGTTAATTTAGCTCAGATAGTTTTACACTTTTAAAATGCCTGAACCATCAAGCAGTGAGCTCACATGTTCAGGCAGCAGAGAAACTTACATTTCTCAGCTGAATGAGCTTAGAAATGACTGACAGTGCACAGTGTGTTCTGCTGCTTCAACCTAAACAACATGAGAAGTGCATAACTTACATCTGAGTATTTTTAAGCTGCAGTATTTTAACTTTCACTTCAGAAACAAATCTAAATCCCGCTGATGAGTTCACACACAGCCCACTGTGCAGTGCTCAGTCACCTGTTGCTCTCTCAGGTGTTTTAATAATATGCCAAAGTGGAAGAAGCCCCACGGTAGGGAGCAGAATGAGACCACCAGGTCCTGTACGGTGGGTTGTCCCATTGATCAGGCTCACAGCAACATGGCGCCTGCTTCACACTATAATCTGCTTGCCTTTCCAGCGGCCCAAATTCAAAATGGTGGCCCTTCCATATTGCACGACTGTGGAAGTTCTACCAGCACCGAACTGGAAAACCAGCGAGCAGCAGCAGCAGCTCAGCGGCATCAGCAGACATGATAATCAGCGCGTTGCAGAAGAATGTCCTGCAGCTCTCTGCGGGAGTCCTTCTGTACAGATACTATATATACATGACAGAGGGAGGGGAGGCGAAGGAAGGCCAGGGGGAGGGGAGGCATTAGGTAGGTCTCAGATAACAATGCTGTTGTTGTGTGGAGCATGGAGAAGCCCTTCCATCACAGCTGCTGCCTGTTGCTGTCCTTTCCCTCCTTCTCGCCGCCTCTCGTTTTCCCTCCTGAGTCGTAAGAGCGCTGGGAGGAGGAGGAGGAGGGAAGCAGGCCACATGTTTGAAAAATGACTGTTTAAACCCACAGGAAGGAGAGCAAAGCAACCTCCTGGATCTTTGTTTTTCACCCACAAATATCTCATGTGCTTGATTGACAGAAAGAGCCAACGCAGATCTGAGACGGGAACGTAGCTGTTGGTATAATCCTCAGGCAGCGGTGACAGGATGAAGGTAAAGGTGACCTCATTTAAAGCTTCTTTGACCGAGGGCGACCCGTTAGCGTACCGTCCTCCCTCTCTCCCTCAGGCAGGAGCTGGTTCAGTCTTGTCGACCAGAACCGGGTCAGACTGGGCAGCGGTGTTGTGCACAAACACACTTTTGCTTGTCTTTGCTGCTTCAGTGTGAAACAAACAGGCTGCAGGCAGGTGGAGCTGACGGAGGTGGCTGTGAATGGATCAGCTGGACGTAAGGAAAAGCTGAGTCTCTGCCTCTCCCTCTTACTAAGTGGATTTCTTCCATGCAGCGAATGGCAGCCTTCCCATATGGAGCGGAGAGTAAAGCCAGATTATACCAGTTTGTGTGAGAGGGGCTCCGGCACCACCAGAGTTCACAGCATGAACCCGCACACACATTAAGGACGGACATTATAGTCCACATTAAACAGCATCTGCAAGGGCCTTTTGTGCAAACAGCTCAGATAAGCTCAGCGCTGTCAGCATTGGATCGCTGCTCAGAGGAAATGTGTCGTCTATGAAAACACATATAATAATGTTACTGAAGCATTTAGTGCAGTTTTCATGTGAAATGATTGTTTTTAGGCTCCTGAACATGAAACAAATATCTGGACAAACAATATAATCACTCGTGTGTTTCCTAAAAATAAAACCTTGTCTTGCGTTTGTGTCCTCAGCAGCCAGAGGCGTGTGTCGTGCTGTAAGCAGCGAGCGCCCATGACCTGCCTTTAACACACTAATTTACATGTGCCAGAGGGCGGAGACTTGCCCCAGTGGCAACACGGCCTAATAAGCTCAGTAACAATAAACCTGAGTCGGCTTTAACCATTGATTAGCCAACAGCTGACACAACAAAAACAAATCCCACAATGGCGATTAATACATGCTGGGAAGGGGCGCTAGTTCTGTCAGGAAAGCGTCGCCCGTTGGGGTCACATCATATCGCCTTGGTGCAGATAAGGGGGACTGACTGGAACTAATCTGTTGTTACAAACAATGCAGTGAAACAAAAGGCTGTTTTAAGTCAAGAAGCCGACGTGCATGTGTGATGCGTTATGACTAATGATCCCTGACGCCGTGGCTCTGGTGGCTCAGGAGGCCTCTGATTTACTTCCATTGCAGGCCATATGCAGGGGGATCAGAGGACTGCTGACCCTCCCCCACTATCTACTTCCTGTTTTTCATGGTTGTCTGCTCGCTTCTGCCTATACAATACTCGCTGTGTCTGGAGACATTCCAGCTCCTACTATACTGCTGGCCTCGTAAAACAGCAACTGTGGGCCAGAGGAGCCTATAACCAGAACAGTGGAAAGGCGGCTCGCGTTGCCAGCCTCCCAGCTGCATCAGATGAGATAATCAGGAGGCTGTTCCACCGGCGGCCTGCCGACACGCTGCAGCTTCACCACTCAGGTTTCAGATTGTCAACCAGTTTCACACTAGAAACATGTGAATCAGTGTAACATCAGTGTCGTGTTTAACTTCACCACAGAGCCTCACACACACACACACACACACACACACACACACACACACACACACACACAGCCTTACTGTTCTCTGTGGATCTGTGTGTGTTGAAGGAACACGTTCACAGCCAGTGAAGACGAAGCTTCCTGAAGTATTTCTACTCCAGTTCCTTTCATACTCTGTTACTCTGATTACACAGCTACAGTTACTCGTTAGGTTTTATGTAATAGCATGAAATCAAACTAGCTCAAAGTGAACAAGAAGGTTCTCTCCATTAGAGCCTGTTCACATGTTAATGCGTTTATATTAATGCTCGGCTAACGCAGGCCAACAGGCAGAAGCCTTTTGCCCAAACAGTGTTCTTCCTGTGGAACCGTAAGAACATTGCTAAGGCCTCTGTTCTTAAGATAAGATAAGATAAGATAAGAGAAGATAAGATATGCCTTTATTTATCTCACAGTGGAGAAATTCACGTTGTTGATAGCAGCATTCAACAGAGGTACACATATACGAGACAGGAAAAAAAATAAAAAAATGTACATATAAATATAAGAAACAGTGCAAACAGAATATGAAAAATGGGCTTCTGAATGGGGGGTATATAGAAAGGATATATATATATATGTATATATATGTATATTTATATATAAAAAGATAGGGATTAAATATATAATAATAGTAATAATAATAGTTCTTCAACCTGAACCTGCAGTGAAGTGTTTTTGTATTCTGTTATTTCCAACTCTTACTTCAGTAAATGATCTGAGTGCTTCCTCCACCACTATGTCTGGTGTTTACTTGGTTTTCATGAACATGTGCTCAACA